GGGGACTACATGGAAGTAATGTGTATCAGTGTGTTCTTTCATATAGGAATGTCACTGGTTGATGGCCTCAGCTATTCTAGTAATCAAGGGCTCTCTCCTGTTGCTAATCCTGTGATGAGCAGGACAAATGGTGGTGATGAACAGAACCCCGCTGAGCCTGGAAATTCCATCACTTGGTCATAGTACAGCTGTTATCCTTGTAGTGGGTAGGGAGGCACCTGGGGGTGGAAAGTTAATATATTCCACAGGAGGTTTGGAGTTTATTGCTCAGGACAGTCAAGATGTTGCTGAGCTGTCTGTTGCTGTTTCCAGTCTGGTTCTGGGGAGGAACAGGAGAAATTTAGCTTAGCTTCAGGGATCATAAGTGCCTGTGAGCTGTATAAGGACCCCTAGAGGTCCTTAATAAATATTTGGTTTTACTTCGAATGAAATACTGTTTCAATTGAAAGTATAAATCAAGGTTTTCTAGTTAAATAAATTAAAAACAGAACACAGCCTCCAGACAAATAAGGTTCAGCTTAATATGTAATAGGCCTCTGAAAGAAATTCATTAAAACAAATCTGAGGAATAAAGTCCCCACTTAGTAACTGAAAGCTTGCTAGGCAAACTAAAAAAATCTCATGTTGAATGTGAAATCTTCATGTTGCAGACTATACCTTTAAGCATGTCAGATTATAAATGGTCTCTGGGACTGTCTGGGATGCTGGGTTTCTTCCAAGCTTGAGGAATAAGCCCTACATTTTTGGCCACAGCACTGTCCTGGGATAGCAGCTTAGTGCTGGCTTCAGAATTCTCTGTCATGGAAAAAAAAGTGTAGAAGAAAATATTAGCCCACATATCTTTACAGTTCTGTGTCTTGTCCATAACTCACCCCTCCACCCCACCCCCACCCCCCAAACAGAACAGAATATCCATCATGGGTACAATTTAAGTGAGTATTATGAACAGTCTCCTACCTTTAAGAATTATTATTAAATGTTTCTTTTTTAAATTGGTTATTTGGAACTCAGAATACATTTTCCTTAGATAAACAATGTTATAAATGATAATTTTGGTTCTAAACTAGTCCCAATTACTGAGAAGAAAGTTTCTTTCTTTTTGCTAAAACTGACAGGCAGTGTTTTGAAAGGTGTTGAGCTTGACTTTGGCGTTGTCACCTCCCTTTTTCTTACCGCCTAGGGTCTCTGGGCCCACGTACCTTCTCCCTACTTTGGTACTTTATCCAGGTCTGCTTTGTTCCCTGAAATATTCCATGTTGCTAAATTATGTTCTTCCTTTTTATCCTAAAACCAGAAACTCAGACACTTTCAATGGAATTTATCTCTGGGGTTAGGAGGAAAGCTACTTGCTAACTAAACTCACAGAAGGTGGAATGATGGTCCTTCAAGGGGTGTATGTCCCCTTATTACCCCCCTTTAAATTGTGAAATAGGATTCTGTACTTTAAAAGAGAATGCTGGCTGCTGCATTGAATGAATTTTGGTAGAAGTTTGAATCTTGGTAGAAGTTTGGCTAATGTGACCGAGTGAAATGAAAATATTACAGTGGTTATGAAAAGTGTGTGAGTATGTTGGTGGGAATTAGGCTTCTGTTCTTCCTTTTCATGAGTTTTCTTCCTCCAGTTTAGTTTCAAAGCAGCACCTTTGGTCAGGGGTGGGGATGGGGGGAGGTTAGTAAGGGAGGACAGAGGCAACAACAGGCCATTTGCAAACTAGAATGCTAATTTCTCATCAGCCAGAATGAGCACAGATCCCAACTGAGTGACTATAGATATGACTGACCTAAAATTTTCACAAGGACTTCTGGGAACTTGAAAACTTGCCCATACTTCTGTGCATTTAAGTTAGATATGAACTCTATTTAATCTGTATAGGCCTAGAAAATATTTTTAGTTCAGTAATTAATTCCAGAGTTTGTGATCTGAAGAAAACCATACAACAGAGAAGGCACTTGTGATCTCATTATGTATTCTTATTTACTCTTTATGAGCACATAGCTATTAATAGTAAAAGAATAGTCAAGAGGCCAAAATTCTCTTCTGTGCTTCATCATCATGCCCTGTCATTTCCTCTTGCCTTGGTTTACCTAGGTATTTTCAAAACGTTCTCACCAGATAGTTTCACATCAGGCATGAAGTCAGAATGAAGGATCAGATGTCCAGAGTGCTATGCTTGAAAACGGTACGCTCTTGGTACCTGGTTAAATAATATGGGGCTTGTTTTCTGGTAGAGTGGTGTCAAGTCTCCTTGATGTTAGCCAGAACTGGGTGGAGTTTCTTAAGCTCCAGTCAGATTTGCTCAAGCAGGCACTGTGCACTGGGTAGTTGGTTTTTAGTCTCTCCCTTTGCCGAAAGGCTTTTTACCTTTTTTTTTTTTTTTTTGCGGTACGCGGGCCTCTCACTGTTGGGGCCTCTCCCGTTGCCGGGCACAGGCTCCGGACGTGCGGGCTCAGCGGCCATGGCTCACAGGCCCAGCCGCTCCGCGGCACGTGGGATCTTCTCGGACTGGGGCACGAACCCACGTCCCCTGCATCGGCAGGTGGACTCTCAACCACTGCGCCACCAGGGAAGCCCCTTTTTACCTTTTAATAAACCTGAACCCAGTTATAATTGAGAGTACTTGATGTATAAAATAATAGTCACACAGAGAATCTATATGAAGTTTATTTCTAATTTAAGTGATGAAACTGAATTATAAGTAGCTTATAGAATAGTCAACCTCAAGAATCGTTTAACATACCACTCTCATTTTACAGCCTAGGGAACTCAGTCCCGGAAGGTGACTCACTCAAAGCCACAGTGAGAATCAGACTGAACTAGTGAAGCATGGAAACATCTTTAACCAGCTTTCGTTTCTTGCCTCCTATCAACAAATCCATTTAAAGTTAACAGAACAGGGAACTATATTCAATATCTTATAATAACCTATAACGGAAAAGAATCTGAAAAAGAATATGTATATAACTGAATCACTTTGCTGTACACCTGAAACATTGCAAATCAACTGTACTTAAATTAAAAAAATCCAAACTCAGTTAATTTTCTCTATTATCTATACAAATAGAGGAGGAAAAGCATAAATGGTCAATGAGAGAATTTTTTTAAGTAGATACTTCTCATTCACAAGGGTATGTTTTTGAATTTTCCTGTATATCCAGATTTGAGAAGAACACTGTGTCAGATCCATTTGTCCATAAAATACCTAACTAAACATTTTAAGGCATGAATAAATATTGTGACCTTAAATGATTCTGTTAAGTGTGGGATGACATTCAGTCATGAAGTTATTAAGATCAATTCTGGAGCACTTGCAGAACCAGCTTAACAGATCTGTAGAGCACCTAAGGAATTTATTATACTTACACGTATTTTAGAATAGAATAACTATAAAATTGAGTAGTCTTCTCTTTAATTTATTGAAAACTGGGGCTTTTTGGCTAAAAGCCAGTATTTTCACTTCCACTAGCTAGTATTGCTTTTACAGGGTCATTTTCCATAAGTAGATTGTGTGTGTGTGTGTGTGTGTGTGTGTGTGTGTGTGTGTGTGTGTGCTTAAATCATAATTCTATTTATATGTGATGACATGAAAAGAATAGCTAAACTGTTTTGAGATGCAGATGCTGGGTGGTTGGATGCATGTACTGGGAGCCAAGTGACCTTCCCACTTGCAGCTGTCTAATTTTCTATCAATTTTACCCTCTTAGACTGAATTTAAGCTGCTGTTCATATTCCATGAACCACATGTCAGCCCAGAAAATGGTTTGGGAGGTTGGGAGGTAGGGAGGAGGGGAAAGATTACAGTGAATAAAAAGTTGCCCTTTGAGAATCCGTACTCAGATAAATGAGGTTTAAAATGTATTGCTGGTTTTGTCTGTATTTTCACCAGTGTCCTAAATTAGGAAAAGTCTGAGAAGATTGCATGAAGTAAGTGTCATAATTACATATTTCTAGGACAAATAAATCCGTTGGGCTCTTATTGTATGTTGTTAAAGATGGTGCAGGTGTTCCTTACAAGTTCTCTTTGACAATGAAACTGCTTAATTATAGACATTCTTTATTGTTTTTTGTTCATAACAGCTTTCAAAGGCTAGCTATCATAGATAGAAAAGGGAAAAGCAGTTCCTCTTTATGGAACCCTTTGACATATGTCAGGCCTTTACAAAGTTCTTTATTTATTTTTATTTTCTTTATTTTATTTTTGGCTGCGTTAGGTCTTCGTTGCTGCGCGCGGGCCCGTCTCTGGTTGCGGCGAGTGGGGGCTACTCTTCGTTGTGGTGGGCGGGCTTCTCATTGTGGTGGCTTCTTTTGTCGCGGAGCACAGGCTCTAGGCGTGCGGGCTCAGTAGTTGTGGCTTGCGGGCTCTAGAGCGCAGGCTCAGTAGTTGTGGCTCATGGGCTTAGTTGCTCCGCGGCATGTGGGATCTTCCCAGACCAGGGCTCGAACCCGCGTCGCCTGCATTGGCAGGCAGATTCTTAACCACTGCGCCACCAGGGAAGTCCCCCATATACTTTTTAATTTCAGGTTATGTTTAAAAATGGAAAGCCTGGTGTTCTGCAAAGATGCTAATGTACCTGACCACAGAGAGGGACTGCCTCCCCTAGGTAATTCAGGGAATGTTGCCTGTATTTTTCACGCCAGCAGGGAACTAGTAAGAGTAGTTCAGTTGACAGAGCCATGAAGCACTGCTTACCCCTACAAGATAAGGTCCATATTCCTAATCCATATTCCTAATCCCTGGTAAATAAAAGTGACTTCATTTGCCTGATAGTAGTTAACCGTTTTTTTAAAAAATGGGAATATAACCTAATCTGACCTCCTTTTGTATATATTTTTAAGAATTATTCTGTGACATGATTTGGAAATTAAGATAAATGGAATAGTTGAAAGGGTTTTAAGACTTGAAATCAAAAGACTTGATTTGAATCTTACTGGCTGTAACCTTGGATAAATTGAGGGGTTTTTTTGCACTTCATTTTTCTTATTAATGAAAAGGACAAAATGGCACTTGCTCTATTTACCTCCCAGAGATGAAAGAAAAAGTGTTTACCTTGGGTAAGACTGTCTGTAACGGAGCTGTGATTTTCTAATCTATAAAATGGGGGAATTTTAATTCCTTTTTTGTTTAAAATGATGACAAGAGTTTCTAGGAATGTTTTTCCCTTTGCAGTTCTCATCATATGAAACATTTTTTTCCCCCTTAACCAGGCAGTTGCAGTGGTGCAGAATGGCAGACCTCAGTCTTGCAGATGCATTAACAGAGCCACCTCCAGAAATTGAGGAAGAGATAAAACGGGACTTTATTGCCACACTGGAGGCAGAGGCCTTTGATGATGTTGTGGGAGAAACTGTTGGAAAAACAGACTATATTCCTCTACTGGATGTTGATGAGAAAACCGGGAATTCGGAGTCGAAGAAGAAACCATGCTCAGACACTAGCCAGGCTGAAGGTAAGTAATTAAGCCAGACTGGTTAGATAGGTTCAGAAAGTAGATAAGGGATTACGCTTTGGGTCATAATCTTAGAAACCTTTGAGGAAACTGAACTGAGTTTTTTAGTATAGGCTAGTAACTTTCTCTTTATCTAAATTTCTTGGAAACCATGGAGGTAGGTTCATTACCCTTCAGTAGAGTATGTGTTCTTGAAGCTGTAGATTACTCTTAACCCTAAAGTTCCTTCTGTAATGTCTCAACAGCTATATAATTTGCCTCTTAATTTCCTAAATTAAACTGTCAGCTGTGCCTTTTCTTTGAAAGTAGCTTTGTAAAGTTAGATACTTTAAATTCTGTATTTATACCAAGACAATTTGGAACAGAGTTAGATGCCACCTGTCTTTGAGAGTAATCCTAGGTCAGGATTAAAAAATGGGTTAAACCCTTTAAAAGAGATTTGTTGTCTTTATATATTGCTGGGTCAGATTTGCTAACATTTGATTGAGGATTTTTGCATCTATGTGTATGTGGGATATCGGTCTGTTGTTTTCTTGTGAGGCCTTTGTCAGGTTTTAGAATTGAGGTCATGCTGACATCATAGAATGAGTTGGGAAGTGTTCCCTCCTATTCTGTTTTCTAGAACAGTTTGTGTCGAATTGATGTTTTTTTCTTTAATGTTTGACAGACTGTCAGTGAAGTCATCTGGATCTGGAGTTTTCTCTGTCAAGTTTTTAACTAGGAATTCGATTCGTTTAAGAGATACAGAACTGTTTTCTATCAAGTTTTCTATCTTTTCAAGTGAGCTTTGGTGTTTTGTATCTTTCAAGGAATTGGTCTGTTTCCTTTAAGTCATTGAATTAATGGAGATAAAATTATAATATTACATTATTCTTTTAATGTCTGTAGGATCTCTTGTCATGTCCTCTCTGTTTTCAATTCCTGCTTGTATCTTTTAATATTTCCTTCCTTCTGCTTACTTTTAGTTGATTTGCTCTTTTTCTAGTTTTTTAAGGTGGCAGCTTAGATCATTGATTTGAAACATTTCTTTTCTAAAATAAGCATTTTTAAAAAATTGAGATGTAATTGACATAAAACATTAGTTTCAGGTATACAACATAATGATTCAGTATTTGTTTTTATTGTGAAGTGATGACCACAAGTCTAGTTAACATCCATCACCACATATAGTTATGAATTTTTTTCCTCTTGTGATGAGAATTTCTCATATCTACTCTCTTAGCAACTTTCATATATAGTACAGTGTTATTAACTATAGACATCATGCCATACATTGTATCCTCAGGACTTATTTATTTTATAACTTTTAAATTTTATTTATTTTGACTCCTTTCACCCATTTGCCCACCCCCCACCTCTGGCAACCACCTAAAATAAATAGGCTTTTAAAAAAAATTTTACTTATTTTATTTATTTTTGTCTGTGTTGGGTGTTCGTTGCGGTGCACGGGCTTTCTCTAGTTGCGGTGAGCAGGGGCTACTCTTCGTTGCAGTGCGTGGGCTTCTCACTGTGGTGGCTCCTCTTGTTGCAGAGCACAGACTCTAGGCACTCGGGCTTCAGTAGCTGCAGCATGCGGGCTCAGTAGCTGTGGCTCGCGGGCTCTAGAGCTCAGGCTCAATTGTGGCGCACAGGCTTAGTTGCTCTGCGGCACGTGGTATCTTCCCGGACCAGGGCTCGAACCCGTGTCCTCTGCATTGGCAGGCGGATTCCTAATCACTCTGCTGCCAGGGAAGTCCCTGAATATTTTTTAAAATACTGTTTTAACTCCAACATTGGCTTATTATATATATTTCTTTTAAAAATTGTTTTATATTTGACCTAGAGTTTACTGTGTATGTTAATTTCTTCCAGTTTGCCTTCCAGTAATATTCTACCATTTCATGTATAGTGTAAAATTCCATGCAAAATAGTAAATGTCCAATTCCTCTGTCATTTTTTGTGTTATTGTCATACACATAATTTGACTTATGTTACCTACCTTGTTACTATTTTTGCTTTAGCTTGTCAATTATCTTTTAGAATGAATAAAAATATGGGAAAAATATACCTTTACTCTAATTTTTACCATTTTGGGCATTCTTCATTTCTTTGTATAGACCCAAATTTCTGTCTAGCACTATAGTCCTTCTGCCTGAAAAACTTGTAGCACTTCTTCTCTTATAGTACAAACCTGCTTAGCAGTGAATTATCTCAGCTTTGTTTTATTTGAAAAACAAACCTTAAGTTTTGGAAGGTACTTTTTGCTAGGTGTCCTATTCTGTGTTACTTTTTTCTTTCAGTAATTTAAAGGAAAATTAGTTGTCCTACTTGCATAGTTTCCTATGAGAAATCTGTTACAATCTTGATCATTGTTCTCCCCCCACCCACCCCCACCTTCCAGGCTATCTTTATCTTGGGTTTTTAGCAGTTTGAATGTGTTGTGTTTAGGTGATATTTTGTTCAGTTTGAATGTGTTGTGTTTAGGTAATATTTTGTTATTTGTCCTTCTTGGCTTCTCTGAGCTTGATCTGTGCTTTGCCTCTTTCTTTCTCTCTTCTCCTTCTGGGATTCCAGTTACATTTTTGTTAGATTTTTGAGTATTGTCCCACAGTTCTTGGATGCTCTATGTTTCATTCTGGGTACTTTCTTTTCATCTATCTTCAAATTCCCTGATTTTTTTTCCTGGTTGCCTTGAGTCTAATGATGAGCACTCAGTGGCATTCTTTATCTTTAATATCTTTACAGTTTTTAACTTCTAGGATTTCTGTTTGACTTTTAGAGTTTCCATCTCTCTGCTGAAATTATCCATCTGTTAATGCATATTTCTATCTCTTCCACTATAGACTTTAACACATTAATCATAATTATTTTAAATGTCTGTCCGGTAATTTGAACATCTAGGTCATCAGTCTGATTATTCTGTCTCTTTACTGTTTTTTTCTGGTACTTTTTATGTGTATCTTAATTTTTGAGTGAATGCTGGACCTCACATGTAAAACAGTAGAGACTGAAATAAAATATTTATGCCTGGAAATGAGTGTATGGTCAGGCCACTCAAGATGGCTGTTCTTTTGCTCTCTGTACATTCCCTTCTCGATCAGTGCCTGCTTCACCTGTACCCTACTCAAGTGCCGGACCTTCCTACACTCTTGCCCCCGCTCCAGCTGTTGATTGTTTTTATCGAAGGGGTAATGAGGGGCGTGCCTCTCTGCTGGTTTCCCTGGTAACTAATGAACCCACCAGACATAATTCTCTTATAACTGGTAATCCCCGTCCCCCTCCCCCACCGCCGGCAGTGAAGACTGCCACCTTGTCCTGCCTGCTGTCTGCTGCACACGGTGGGGTGTCGCTCCAGGACCTTGCTTCAGCTGTGTAAGGTCCCCCATGCATTACATCGTTGATGTCTCTGTTGCTGACTTTGGGCTCTTTCTTCGGTTTTAGAGCTGGGCAAGCACAGACCTTGTAGGCCTGCGGGGTACAACCCAACAATGGGCAAACTCTCTTCTTTTACTAGTTAGTTAATACTTTCAAAGGGTTGAGTCAATTTAGGCCAGGGCTGAGCTAGGGTTGGGCGTTGTTGTTGCTATGATGGTCTTCAGTGCACTACTGGCTTCAAATTCTTCCATTTCTGGTGCGTAGAGTAGGGACTGAGGTGCTGGAAAGCTTTTCCCAAAAGTTCTTTTCTGGGCTTCCTTGGTTGGCGCAGTGGTTGAGAGTCCGCCTGCTGATGCAGGGGACACGGGTTTGTGCCCCGGTCTGGGAAGATCCCACATGCCGCGGAGTGGCTGGGCCCGTGAGCTGTGGCCGCTGAGCCTGCGCTTCCGGAGCCTGTGCTCCGCAACGGGAGAGGCCAGAACAGTGAGAGGCCTGCGTAGGGCAAAAAAAAAAAAAAGTTCTTAAAGTTCTTGTTCCACTCCCAGCTTTTGGCCCTGCTGTGCACCTGTGCCTCAGGAGGATTTCTCTCCATGCTCTCCCCTCCCTTATCAGAAGAGGGATAGCCTGGTAGTGGGCAGGAGTTTTTTTATTTTTGTTTTTTGGCCTTGGTTTAGGCTCAAGCCTGTGTGCATGCGTCTCGTGGTTGAGTCTTTTTCTCAATCATATTATCCCTCTCACATGGATGGCGTTTTCTAAAGGTATTGGCATAGGATCCTGGGCTGGGATTCTTTCTGGCTCCTCCCCTAGGGTAAGAGGGGGTTTTCTTGTTAACTTCTTCCCCAGCTGCAGTGGGTCTTCACCCGGGCCCTGGGGCTGACAGGGTTTGATACTCCTCCCCCAGCAGCTTAAAGCTTTTGTTTGCGGAGGAGAGAGGAGTCCTAGGGTCCAGGGCTTCTTGCCTTTGCTTTTAGTGGCAGCTTTTTCCAGGTCTGCACCACCTAGAGCAGCTCTCTGGTCCCCCCACTGCCTCCAGTCTTTCTAACCTGCAAGTGGGTATGAACTTCTTTTGTGTCTGTGGATCCCAGGGGCCCTTTACTCTCATGCTAGCCTTCACTTAGCCTTTAGCAAATAGTTAAACTCTTCAGTTGAATTCTTCTCACCTGCTTGCATGGCACACAGGAGAACCATTGCTTACCTCCCATATCTCCTTGAGGGGAATGTCTTTCTTTGGATTCCACACTACTTGGTTGCCCTAAAACCTCAGCTCTTTGGTGAGTTCGTTTTTGTAGTTGAGTTGTTGTAGTTGAGTTCGATTTTGTAGTTGATCTGGGTTTTTTGTTGTTGATAGGGTGGGAGTGACATTTCTTCTGGCTTTCTGTAGCCCGAGTGCAAGAGGAACTCCTGCTTCTTTTATATGTGCTTTATTTGGGGGGGTGGAAGGAACCACAAATGATCAGAAGAAATATTATTGAGAGTTTAAAATCAAATTATATCCGTATAAATATTTACTCCAAGAAAAAAATTGGATTCGTTAATGGAAAATGGAAATGTCTGTTCTCTCTTTTTTTTTTTTAATATTTATTTATTTATTTGGCTGCTCCAGGTCTTAGTTGAGGCACGCGGGGTCTTTGTTGTGGCATGCGGGA